ATATCCTATAAAAAATTATTAGAAGTATAAAATTTTAAAAACCTGCGCATTTCGTATGGTGAATTCGCGATCACAGGATGGTATCCATTCATTGGTTGTTGCATTATAGAATTCTAAGAATCCAATCTTTGGTTTTGTTCCATTCAAACGTATCACAAATTGTTGGTAATATGGATTATATCGATTTAATGATGGAAAATGTTGATTAACGCTATCTTGTCCAATCCTAATTAAAGCATTTATTCTTGATATTAACGATTCTCTAATTAATTTTGCAAATTTATTACTATAAAATTTTCCGATTATATAATAAATAATTCATATACGATTTTTTTTTAAAAAAAAAAGTTTGTCTTGTTTTCTTTTTTTCTATTTTTTTAAACGCATTAGTATTACAAATATTTTAACAGTAAAATATGATTCATTTAATTAGATAATTAAAAGCTTAGAATAAAAAGAAATTAAGTGAAACAAAAGAGAAAATTACTAAATACAATTGTGATTTTATTCACCTGCTAGATATTATTAGCGAAATAAAAAATTTAATTCAACACTAACTTAGGAATAATGAGGAAAAAGTATTTTTTGCAAATTATTAGATAGAGGGAAGGAGAGAGGGAAAAAAACGGGAGGGAGGGGAGAACGAGAGAGAGAGAGAAAGGAACAATCATTTTTTAACAGATGAAATTAATCGAAATCAATAGGAAAATTAATTAACAATTCAGATCGTCGCTTTCTTTGTTGACATAAATTGCTGGATTGAATGGAACAATGTTTTGAGCGTTCATGACGTTCTACGATTGCGCCACGTTCTTCCGTATATTCCGTCATATTAATTGGTTTAAAGCGTATAGGTTCCCAATATGTTCCTTCTGCTCTTAAATTACCCAACACAAGGATACGTACGTTTGGCCAAATATGCACCTAAAATGTAAATTTCAGTTAGGCATTTATATCCTAATACATACCACACATTTCAATAATTAATTACTCAATCATTAATTAATAGCTTAAATAAAATTTTCTTATCAATTCTAGAATGAAAATAAAAGTTGCGGAAAATACTAATTTAATAATTTCTGGTGGAAAAATTTATGCTATTTTATCATTTCATGTTTTATCAATAAATTTTATTACTTATAAAAATTACCAATCAAAAATAGTTTTCATTAGAATGCAAAGAAAAAAAGCGATATATTACTAAAATCTTGATAAAAAAACAAAATGAATGAATGGATTAATTAAATTTGACTGACTTCGACACCTTTTTCAATAGTAAGTGTAGCTCCAGGCATAATCGTTAAATCTTTTATAATTCGATACGGTTCAACCGGTTTGTAATGAAATGGAAATTCATGCCAACGTTCACGATTACAAGTGAGATTTTTGGATTCATAAATGCGACCATTTAAATTATAAATTGATGGTTCGGAACGTTTTTCCGTTGCCAATTGTCCCTGAAAATTTTTTTCTAAAAATCACCACAAAATAAGAAAAATTAAATAATAAAAGAAAATAGGTGAAAAAATTTTTTGTTATTTTTGACAATAATTTTATATGATACTTTAAAATTTAAAGATTGAGCAATAAATGATAAAAAAACTTTATAATAGATTGCAATAAATCATAATTCATAAATTCAATATAAAAATGAACAAATTCTAAATTAAAAAAGGATTATATAATGACATCAGCCTACAATATAATATTACGGCAAGTTAACTTAATTTATAAACTTCTGCATCTTTTTTATACAACCGAAGAACTAAAAATGTTTGTTTTTGATATAAAACTAAAGTATCACGTTAAAATTTTTGGATGTCAGGAAATTTAGTTAAATATTTCTAGGTCGATTAAATTATATTTCTATGCAAATTTATACAACTACAATATATCACATATCAATCAATCAATTAATTTCAATAATTTACAAACATTTTGTGGTTTCCACCAAAAACTGATGAAATTTTCTTCCGTAACATAGAATGGACTAAACATTGCCAACGTGAAAATGTTCCAATCATCAAAATCGAAGATGCGCTGATAAATTGCGGCTTCATTAGCAACACCCCACCAATTATACGTTACATTCATCGTATCTTTAACATTCGCACTCTAAATTAATTTCAGTATTTCATAAATTTTAAAAAATTAAAAATAGCAAACAAAAATTTCCAGAACGCGGTTTATAATTCCAAATTATATAAATATATCACGTATAAAAATGTCCATTTTGCATAAAAACATCAATTAGCTCACTGTTTCTTCAAAAAAAAAACACAACTTGAGAAGATAATTTAAGACAGAAATTAATAATTTATTAAAAATAACACTATAAAATTTGGTAATTATAAACAGCTTTATATATTACTGAACTCAGTAATTAGTCAAAATTTTACACTTAAAAAATAAAACATGAAAGAATGAAAGTATAACTGTAGAAGAAAGGCGTGTAAGTTACACATAACAAAACATAGACAACTGAATATAAACTAACCTTAGCGCCAGAAATAAGTTCGAAATCAAATAAAATATTCCGTAAACGATTAAAATGAATGTTAGCTAATTGTGATCCAAATATACCAATCGTAAATGAACGTGGCCACATGTCCACGTATTCTTCCGCACTATGTAAAAAACCATTTTCCATAAAATAATTATGTTGAATCCAAGCTGTTACTACTTTATCATGCAATGAATGTGAAAGAATATCCATTTTTAACATCCAACGGCCCTGAAGTAATTAAATAATTACTAACTCTGATACATATTACAAAATATAGAATTTCTTTTTAAATTCGTGATTACGAAAGACAAAATTAAAAATGAAAATTGAATAATATATGAAGACAAGAATTTCGGATATATTTTATTTTTTATTTTTTGGCAATTGTCTGGCTAATTTTCAGAGTCGGATTTTTAAGCTTTACACAACGCAGTAAAAATAAAATCTAATATATAGTTCAAAATTTATCCAAATAATTTTTCAAGTTTTTAATTTCAACGATTATTTTAAATAAAAAATTTTCCATTTTGTACATACACGATTATAACTGAATCGATTTCGTTCAACGAATAAATCCTTTTCCATCCCACTGAAAGTAATTAAACCAATTTCGCTTGGTGCATTATTGTTCGTAAAATTATTGGACGACACATTAACGAATGCATAATATCCATTAATAAATATCGCAAAATTGGTATTATTTTCGAAGCGATTTTCCGTCATCTGTAAATTTAAAATTTTATATTTCAAAATTTAACAATTTTATAAAATAATTAAGAGACATACTAGCATATAATATCAAATAAATGATTACATATTGATTAATTCTTCATCATCGACAATTAAAAATGGAAAAATTAATTTTGTTTCAAATAAAAAAAATTTTACCAAAAATCATCGACAAAAATTTGGCAAATCAATTATTTTAAAAGTTTTGTCCAACAAAAATTATAAAAACTGGCCGATTTAATTATTTAAAAAGTTTTGTCCAACAAAAATTACAAAAACTTGCCGATTCAACTATTTAAAAAATTTTAACCAACAAAAATTAATAAGTAAAAGCATATGGAAAAACTTATAATATTTTAGAAATTGAGATCACAAATTGACAACATTTATAAATGTACTCATTTATAAAAAAAATCACTGCTGTGCTGTTTGTATGAGAAAAAAAAAACAAATGAAGAAATTATAATACTTTGAGTGAGTGAATTTGTTGAAGTCGTAAATTGACAGTGTCAGGGAAATGTATCATTATTGTACTATTTGCATTATTTGAAAAAGTATTCGACCAAAAAAACCATTCAAATACATTAGCATTATTGTAAAGGTCGTGATGTAATTCGATTATTGAACCGGTATTATTAATAATCGAACAATTATCAATATTATAACCAATCTATAACAGTGAAGATTAAATAATAATGATAAACTAATCGCTTAATTTTGATTAATCTGCAAAAAATGTAAAATCAAAAATTTATTTGCCTTTTACAAATTATATGTAATAAGTTATAATAAATGCTTAATTAAAAATCCAATGCAAAGACTTTAATAAAATGTTTAATTTAAAGATTGACTTTTTCGAACACATTAATTTGTTTATTTTTTTTAAAATTACTTCAATATGCTTCCTATCTTAGCTATCAACTTAAGCATTCATTTTCAGAAATACTAATTCATTCATTCTAAAATACTTCTTCATGTATTCTTATTCATAATGTGTTTGTAACGAAAATAATAAAACACTTTTACTTTAAATGATAACAATTTCATACAATTTTTTCTCTCCATCAAACTTTTAAAATTTTTAAATTTAAAAAGTTTTCTGAGAAGGTTTTATTCTAGTTTTGTCAATATTTCAAAATGATTTTATTACGTACATTACTAGCTCTTCTAAAGATACTTTTTAGTGTATAATGAAGTTTCAATGAAATAATTTTAGCAAGCTTTAAATTGATTAATTCACTAATTAAACACAGCTTACTTTCATATAACCTTCAGTCATTTTTTATTTTCTTTTCCTGGATAAGCAGATTTGAATATAGAAATAAACCTTAGCAATAGGCATATTGTTGAAAATGAGATGTTGTGGTGAATGAATCCATATGATAGCCTCTCTATTACCGATAAAATTAACTTTTTGAAACCAAAGCTTTTCATTAGTCCAGCGATTCAATAATTTATCATTTTTAATTGTCCAATTCGAATAATGAACTGCTGATATAGCATATTGATTATTGATTACTTCTGATTGATATATATGCACAAATCGATTCAAATATTCCTGGCCTATAAAAAGTAAAATTTATATTTTAAAAAGTGTAAAATTTAAAAGTTTGAATTTAAATTAAAGTAAAAAAGAAAAATGTGAAAGCAAAATTCATATTTTAGAAAGTGGAAAAGTGGAAAATCTGAACTGCAATTAATTCCTCCCTTAAATTCTATTAAATTCCAAGCATTGCGAAAAGATTAATAATTTCAGAATATTCAGTTAAAAAAATATAAAACAATTACTATTTGATACGTGCAAAATGTATTGTCGTTTATTTTATCAGCAAACTTTGCAATTTTTTTCCGATGTCAAAATTACTAATGTCGAGATTTCAAATGTTAAAATGAATGAATAAACCTACTAGCTACGTTGAAGTCAAATTTTAAATACAATAGAATTGTCAGAGAGTAAATGTTACAGTTAACATTGAAAAGTTTAACTTACCATCGAGAAAAAGCACGAGGATTATTACCGATGGTTTCCCGTATGTTCGCGTATATTTTAACTGTAACGTATTTGATAGTGATATGATTGGAAAATGGATAAGATCATAACGTACACTCCAATTTTTTTTCCCAATATTATCAATTAGAAGGATATCTTCATCGCTCTCCTCATTAACACGATTAATAACCTTAATAACAAAGTTATAAATATTAATTAACTGTTCAATCCTATATCTTCTTCGTTTAATGACACAATTACTGTTACATAATGAAAAAGTTATGATAAAAATCGTCTATATTTCTAACTATCTTTGGAAAAGATAAATAAAAATACTTATATTGCTGCTTTATGTTTTACGCATCTCTTTTGTGTTCAGTAAGTATTTGTTTTCGCTATTCATTTGTATATTAATGGAATTATTATTTATGTACAATAATTTAAACGAGATTTATATTGCTTTCTCTTCTTTTTATTACTTTTATTCGATAGTCTTAAATGATTAGTTTCATCAACTAATTCATTCTGTTTAAAGTGAACTAAAACAAAAGAAATCACTGCTAGTTACAGATTCTTGTTGCATTATCAGATTACAGTAAGCATTTGATCAAAAAGAATAAAAATATTACTTGTATGGCTAGTTTTGAATTCAAACCATATTCTTGGCCACTTGCAAATAGTGACATTTCATAAGTACATGGATCAAGAAGTGCTAAAAATGTAAATGAAAAAAAATAATTTTCTGGTAAATTTCGACTAAAATCAAATTTTATCACAATGTTAAAGGAGAGAGAGAGAGAGAGAAGGAAAGGAAAGAAATATATTTTTTTTATTTATAAATTATTTGTTTCATTGGCATTGAATGATGACAGCATTTTTTTTATAAAGTGTTTACAAAGTATAAAAGTGCTATTAACATTGAGTTTCATATCTTTTAGCAAAAAGAATGATACAATTTAATTACTATTTTTATTCTTTAGAACAATATTTTTTCAACCATTATATACTAAAATTAAATTAAAATTATAGCGCATTTTGAAAATTGTTTAAATTAAATTCTACTAATTTTGAATAATTGGTATTCCATTTCCAGTTTTTCTACAATAATAAATGAAGAAATGAAAGAAATAACCAAGTGGGCAATCCGATGTTACTTTCGCAATTAAAAATTTTCGTTGATTAAGATGTGATTCATGAACTGTTAACTTATCAATGTTATCGTTTGGTATTATAAAAACGTTATTAGTTTCCATTTCTGGTTGTTCCCGACGTTCCAACCACGTTACTATATCGTGTTGTAAATCGTTTGTTATCAATGGATTATATCGAAAACCGGATTGTCCATTTCCGCTTAAAGATACCTGAAAAGAAAAAATTTTTTTTAATATAACAAGAAAAAGGTCAATTATTACGGCATTAACGAATTCTTATAATTGCTCAATAATTTAATAAAGTTTAAAAAAAAAAACCAATCGATCTGATTAATAATACTCTATTTAAAAATGCTCTTTTTTTCTTTCTTTAATTTGCTAAAATTTTTAAACATGCTTGAATGCTATTTAGATGTAATTTCAACACTTAAAATTTTATACAAATAACAAAAAATTCTGAACACATTGAAGAATTTTAATAAATTAATAAAATGCGAAAACCTTTTGAATTGTAATTCCCTGTGAACGTATTTTCAATCCATGCCGACGATTATTTTCAAATCGACTCATTCGAATTGCTGGTTTTCTTGTTAAATCATTGTATACAATATCAATACCATTCCAAAAATTATCCCTAATATATAAATTATGAAATGTATGACAATTCCAATCAATTTGCAACGCTGGACTAAATTTTGGTAAGCGAAAGTCGAAAAGGCCAGCTTTTTCAATAATCCATTTTTCCATTGAACTTTGACCGGTAACTAATGGTGGATTTGCAAGGAAAGAATATCGAACACCACTCCAACGAGGTTCCACACATCGTAATCCTGCAAAAAAATTTTTTTATCTCCTTTAGGAAAAAAAAAAGCTTTAGTTAATACGCATAATACTTTCAAAAAAAAAAAAAAAGAAAGGAAAGTTAATAATAACTGCAACAATACAATAAGATAAGGAAAAACAATGCATTACATATAATAAACAACAAAAAAATTCAAAATTACTAAGATGAAAAAAAAAATATTCTTTTTTATTTCTTTTTAACAAGAAAAAAAACTAAAAATTATCAAACTTTAAATTGTAAAAAAAATTATTTAACGTACGATATATTAAATTCATTTGTTATTCAAACAATGACAAAAAATAAACAAACAAACCAACAACATCTGTTGATGGGCATGATGCTATAATATTATGATTAATACCATCATGTCGACAATTTGTAATATCATATTCATTCTCTTCACATCGAATATTATCCATTACAATTGGTAATTCACCCGGTGACGGGAATATTTGCCAATTTTCAAAATATTCAGGATCCATTATAAGGCCAAGTTGATTACATGCTAATAATGCTAAATCTTTAGTCCAACTTCTATTGCATATTGTACCCCATTGATTGTTAACATACACTTCTAAACGACCAGCGAGTACCTAAAGAAATTAAAATCATAAATGAGGAAAAGAAAATTACTAAAATAAAATTTTTAATTAATAAATATTTGATAGATTTAATTTGTATCAATTGTACATAATAACTATTGCAAATGTTAATACTGTCAATCCTATTAAATTAACAATTACTATAATATACCAAGATAATTAGCACATTGATTTAAACAGTAATCATCGTCGTTTTGTTGTAATATAGTAATCTGATGAGGTATTTGTTAGAGGAATGATTGAAATCGTTTTTAAATGATAAATTTTCGATAAGTTATGTGGGATGAATTATAGAGAACGATATTAATATTGTGCTAACATAATTGATATGTATTGATACGAAATCATTATTTGAGTAATAATTGTCGCTATTTCAACATAGTACAGTCAGCGATACAGTATTCAGTAGTTTAAAGTTAACATAATAGTAATCACTAACATCAATGTTATCATTTTCGTCAACTAGACGAATATTCGGCAGATGAGGAAGAACAAATGGTGTACTTGTGAATTTTACCATTTCATCAGATGAATGCAATTCTGTACGCACTAATTCACCCTAAAAAATTTATGCCATAAAAACAAGTTAAAAAAAATAAATTAAAAAAAGAAATGATATAATAGAAATCACAACAAATTGGTAAAATTACAATCTAAGATCTAAAATATCAGATATAAAGATTTATTTTAAATCGATTTAAACAATTTGATGATAATATAGCTCTAATTTCATGCACGTGATAGTTCAAGATCATTTATTTCAAAAGTATCACCTGCACCAGCATTCCTAGACCATTGTTAAATTGTAATACAGTATCTGGTGATAATGTAAGACGTGCTCCAGGCACGATATTCAAATCATCTATTACTGTATATAAGCCTTTTCCCAAATCTTGATTTTCCCATATGGTACCACCTAAAATGTACGGTTCACTGTCTTTGCGAAATGAACGATAATATTGTTGTACGGCAGTAATGTGAGGCCTTCGTTGATTGCATACAGCAGCAAATGGATTAACCTATAAGTGATCAATTTATTTCAAGACCATAATTAATTAAATTCAAACTCAGTCGGCTAAAATTTTTCCCAATCTATTTTCCTTACTTTTTGATTCTCAAAATACTCGTCCTCACCTTTTCAGAATAAAAAATTATTTCCGGATTTTTTTTTGAAATGAAAGAACTTTTTTCCGGGATAATGAAATTTTTGTGTGGAAAGAAAATTGCTTTCATTGAAAGAATTACATAATCATACATCCGAAATGTATTTCTTTCTGAATTTCTTTTATATTACTAAAAAAAAACATACTTCAATAGCAGCTAAATTGTAACGATTGAATTGATCAAAAATTCGATGCATAAATAATTCAGGTCTTGGATAACCCCAATTATTTTCACGAGCATCGATCCATTTAGCATGCTCACCAAGTTCACTGCCTATTTCATATGCTGCTTGAGGATTTTTGAAACAGTTACGATTGATTACTACATTGCTGCAAACAAATAAATTTGTTAATTAATAATAATAATAACTTTACAATAATAATTCCTTGGAAGTAAACTGGAGAAAATCATAGTATATTTAGTAAAAATTTAATGAAATAGCAAAATTGATATGGAATACCTGCTAAAAATTATATAACAGTAAAAAAATTAATAATAATAGTGGTAACGATAATAACGGCGCTATTAAACAAAAAAAATTAATGAAAGCTGAAGTTTAATTAGTTGGAAATCATTCAAAATATTAAAACTGATATGATATATCTGCTGAATAGCTTTTTTTGGAAAAATTAGAGGAGCTTAGTTTAATTAAGTGAAGAATAAAGTAAAATAAAATTATTGAAGTTTACCTGCTAGAAACTACTAATGCAGCATAGGGCGTAAATCGTGGGTTAAGATATGGAAAAGGATTGATAACATGATTTTCACGAATTTCATTTTGTTGATTAAACGTGAGATTTTGAGTCTGAGAACCTTCTACCATACCAATGGAAACAACACTTTGTCCAGTATTAAATTTGAATGAATTCTTTGAAATAGTCACCTAGAAAAGGATAAAACTAAATTTAATAAAAATTAATAAAGCTAATAATATGTTTTTTTAAATTTTATTTACTTATTATTCCTGAATGCCAATGCTATCAAAAATATTATTAAATCAAACGTAATGAAAAATAATACAATCAGAAATAATCGGAATATAAGTATTTCATTTTTTAATATTATTTCTTATATAAATGTTTAGAAATGATTAAATGAAAGAAAAAAAAAAACCTGAGCAGGTAAATTGTGCAATTGTGGATATCGAGCATTTCGAATAATCAAGGCAGTATTATTATTTGCAATAAATTGATTACTTGATATGATTGTTATGGTATTTACGGCCGGTTCCATTCGAAAACCTACTCCTAAACCAGCTTCAATCCGATTTCCGGTAAAATCAATTATGGTACTAGCCATTCCAACTTTCTGACATGCAAATATCTCGACAGATGCATGATAACGATTTCCAATTAACTCAGTCCAACTTATCAGTACCTATGAGTTATACAAAAATTAAGTTGTGAAATAATCAAGGCAATTAATGTAAGCCAATTTTATAAAATTTTTATTTCTTTTATAGAATTGCTACTGATTTTTATAAAAATTTTTATGAATATTTTTTTTATAATTATTGCGATTTTATTAATTGATCTTGGGGAAGAGTGGTTAAAAAAGTAGTTGTTAGCCTAAATTTTTAGAAATAGAAATTTTGGAAAATAAAATTGGAATGATCATTAAATCTTCTAATTTATACAAATTGCTGAAAAAACTTGCATTTATTCGAAAATTTTCAAATAAATACAGGTTTTTTTCTATATTTTGTATTAAAAGTGAAAGGAACACAGAAAATTGCTTCTATTTTAGAACATATGTATCAATCTTAAACTAATTAATTTATAAATTTATTACTGCTCTTCAACGATTTATGTATTTGTTGTGAAAAAAATTGAAATGAAGAATTGTACAATTAGAAAAAATAACATAGCAAAAACATATACTTTAGAATACAAAATAACAATGTAAATAATTGCTGTTAAATTTTAAGAAACTTAAAATTTTATAAAAATTAACTAAAAATTTCACCTTTGGCTGAATATTTTTCCATAATGGTATGCAAAAATTTCCAATCAAAATGCCACCCCATGCATTATCAACAATTTGTGTGCGTAAATAAAGGATATTATTGGATGGACGACCTTTGATAATAATTTCTTGATGAAGAGGTAAATATGGTGATGAGGTATTTTGATGAAATGCACAACCTAAAATAAATTATAATTATTTCATTTCATATTAAATTGTAAGTAAAAGAGTATTTTTGTTCATTTCAAGTGGTACAAATATAAAAATGTAATAACTATTTCATCTTCTATTCATTATTACTATTAGTAAGATTTAAAATACAAAGAAAAAAAAAACATAAAATTCAACAATATATCTTTTCTTCTCTTCAACATATTATTTGGTTATTTGATTTTCAAATATTATTTGATTAAAATAATATTGAACATCACATCTTTTTGTTATAAGGTGCTTTATGAGATAGATATAATTTTTCTCGGCAAAGAAAGTTAAAATTTAGTTCCAAAATTCTAAAAAAAGAATAACAGACAAACCGCGCCATTTATTGCGACTAATTATGGTACCGTTAATTGTAATAGAACCACCAGCATATGACACATTAATGCCATCACCCCAATTATCATCAATTCGTGATGCATTAATCCAAACATCCGCCGCTCCATCCCGTATCAGAAATCCCGCTTGTCCTTCATTTTTCACTATCGTTACATTTGTTAATGCCGTTCTTTCGCGTATGTTCTGCGCCCAAATACCATTTCCGGTATTATTTGCAATCAACGTATGCGTTACATTTAAACCATAAAATGCATTATCTGTAATTGAAAATGAAATTTTCAGACAAATGTTCGATAAAAAAGAGGAATTATAAATAAATATCAATTATGAAGTTGTTAAAATTTACAACTTGTAACAAAAAATTTTTCAACAAAATTAATATTTTTGTATAATAAAAATTCTATATGTTATCAACTGATTAAAATAATTACTTATTTACAACTATTTTTCCTAAATTTTTCTTTTAAATAAGAATTTCGATAAACGATTTAACGTACCAGTAACGGAAGCATGGATTCGAAAAATTAAATTAATATCACCAACAACTCGACCACTTAATTCGCTTGTTGTGTGCTCCAGCGAAAGATATATTGGTTGACCAGTGCTCCTGTAAAAAATTCGCATTTTCAGGCTTAGAAAAACTAATAAGAATTTGACAACAGTTGAGGAAAAAGCTTTCGAATTAATGAGTATCAACTGATATCTGATTCGACAACCCAAAATCAAAGATTTCAGAATTGAATTCAATAAATGTCATCAGCAATTAAATGGAAGAACTAAGTCGTTTCATATCGATGAATTAATTATAGTTAATTAGCAAAACAAAAAATTAATTAATCAAGTTTTTGAATTTTTGATTACCATATGCTATCATAGTTGACTGCAACAGTAGAAAATTTTAACATTTGAGTGCACAATGAACTGAAAATGGAAAAAAAAGCAAATTTAGAAAGAAATTCAAAAAATGACGAACCGGAATGAAACTGTTTGAGGAAGAATACGGTTCAAAATTGGGATACGATATCGTTCATCATCACATCCATCAAAATTCGTATTTGCATCACATACAATTAATCGAGTTTCTGAATCCGAATTTTGACCATTTTCATTTCTTATTGCCATAAATTGTATACTGTATGTGTACGGTAATTGAGATGGCAATGATATTATCTGAATATGCATAATGGATGACGTGTTAGATTTTAGAATGGAATCGACAAGATATTTGCGTTATTTTGACAAATTGGCACCTTTAAAAATTAACTTTCAAATCTTTGAATTATTGACTAAATTAATTTGAAATTCTGCTTTTTTTCTGAAGGAGACGAAGAGATTGAATTTCGATCAAATGTTTTATGTCAATAAATTGCAATGAGCAAATAATGAAATTAAAAACAAGAAAAATTATAAGTGAAAAAATTTCTATCAAAATTACTAAAAATAAATATTAGCGCTTAGCTTTCAAGAAAATAAACTTACAAGTAAAAAAAATCTAAAAATACCTTACCATCCAACAAGGTGATGCATTGCTACCGTCAATTATCGTACCATTGGTAAGTTTTGCTTGGATTAAATGCGGAAAGAAAAAAGTACGTGGTATTTTATGTTCCGTGCACATATCCAATCTTGGCTTTTCATTATCTTAAAATAGCAAATTAATCTTTTCCTCATTTATTATCTGAATTATGATAATATGTTTAGAATAATTAATCTTAGGATAAAAGTTAACAATAAACTTTTTAAATAGGACGAATTATTTGATCAATATTAAGTAATTAAAATATATTCAATTATACAACCAAATACTTCAATTAATTAACCAAATACTCTTTTTTGATTTAAAATGAACATTTATCTAAATATACGATAATTGCGTACCGTATATCTAATGAGCTCTTACAGTATCACTTCATGCTTACCTGGCATAGCGGGATACCACAGTTCATCATATCCTTCACGATAGTGTATACCATCACCGTAATTCCCACTAATAGTTGTCATATTGATGAAAACTCGGCCATCGGTTGTATTCATTACTGTTATTCCATGACCCCTAAAATTACTTAAAATTTAAATCAATTCATCATTTAATGAGTTGCTAATTCTATTCTACGATAATAAAAACAAGTAAAGGAGTTCAACGAATTAATTATTTCTCAATAAATTTTAAAGCTATGTGTGTAAATAATTTTTTTAATAAATTAAAATATTGTGAATTCAAAAATTTTTGTCTTCCTTCACGTTTTTGTGAATTTCTTTTTCAGTCTTGTAGTTGCTATTTCACAAATTTTAAAAAATTTGCGCTAGATCAGTTAAATTACCATTAAACAATGTTAAATGTCATTAATTGGCTTTGGATAAGATTGGGAAGCTGTATAATATAAAACATTGTTATGTTTATTTCAACAAAATTTACTTTTTTCAAGGAAAGCAAAAAAAATTAGAATTACAAAAATCTTTCCTCTAAAAAAAATTAATTAAAGTAAGAATAAAAAAATCCCAGCAAAAAAATGAGCCAGTAGATTGAAAGTATAAAATTCGATTTGAGGATAAATTAACCAAGCTTTTAAAGTTGCAACAATCTTTTTAAAAAAAGTCATCTCTTTTCTCAATAAAAATTTGTTTTAATAATGAAATTTATTCATTTGTATTATCGACAAAACAAAAAGAATTTTCGATAATCAATCTTCTTTCTTTTTTATTTTTGTGAATTCCAATGAATAATACCTATTATTACGGATGGTTGAATTGGCAATGACAACAGGCCCGGTGGGCCTTACAAGATAAATAGCATTTCCAGCACTTCTCTCAATCCGAAGGCCATTCATAATCGGTGGAGTGCCCCTAATCCAAATTGCTGCTGTTGTATTTTTGGTTGACCTTCAATAATAATACATAATATGCTAATTATCCCTTTGTTGTAACAAAGGTCAACCGTGAAACAAATTCGTGCTTTTCTGTATGCAAATTATGGCACATAATATTGTAAATTTTTTCAGCACGAAATTTTGAATTCAGATAGAAATTGTTTTTATAAAATGGTTTGCTATTGTGGAAGTTTTAAAAATGTAACTTTATAATTATCTGTTTTAAAATTTTAATTGAGATAGAACAACGAACATAACTAACCCATCATATCCAGCATAGAGTATGTCAACAAATTCAAGTCTACTAGTAGATTCTCGATGTAAAGCAACCATATCAGGATCCGAATTTACATACTGTAATGATGATGACAAAATTTGCAAACCTATAATTAATTACAGTTTAAAAAATTTATATCGCTATGAAATATTTTAAAAAAGGCTAAAGACAGAAATTTTGAATTAATCAAATGATAATGATAGCAACATTTAGTAATGGTAATACCGATAACAATAATAATGCAATGATAGTGATAGTTATTATTATTAAAAATGATAGTTGATAATAATTGATATCGAAAATTAATAATAAATAACAATAAAATAATAACAATAATAATAGTCGGAGGGAAAAAGTAAATTAATATTAAAATCTTTACAAAAATACGCAAAACTAGAATATTTTTGAAATATTCTACAAAGAAATTTTTTCCAAATTTTTTATTTTGTAACTTAAAAAATTAAAAATAAGTGTGTTTGAAAAATTCAACGGCGATTATCATTTATTTTCGCAATTTTCATTCAATTGTTGGAAAGAAATGAAGTCAAAACTGATTAATTAGTTTTATGGGAGGCAAAAAAAAAGAAATAAATGTTTCTGACCTTTCCAGTGTTTTTGCCATTCGAGAAATACCGGTACTCCCCAACATCGAATTCCAATATCATCTTCACCTTGACAAAGATTTTCGCTTAGCGGTATCATATCAACATCACTAAATCCTTCACAATCCCACAATGATGAAGCATTTGATCGGCATTTCGGTGATGGCATTACAAATGGATATGTGTCGTTGTTGCGTTGATACCATTTCCAGAAACCTTTAAATGTGCAAAATAAAATGATCATATTTAAAAAATTATTCCAATATTTCTAGTTTTTTTCAACACTATCAAAAATTTTTTTCTTCAAAATATTCATCGTTTTTGATTAATTAGGATAAATTATAATTGTTAAATACATCAAAAGACTGTTTCTTAAGAAAGCACCACATATGAATTTAATTTATGCTAAAATTTAAAATTATTTGAAAAAAAAGAGAATAATAAGAAAATATACCGCCATCACTGAAATTCATCGATCGACATGCTGTGCTAACATCTACCGATGTCCAGCTGTAATGTTTTTTATTTTTAATATTTTTGACTTTCAAAATATCATTTTAAAAAATTTAAAGTTTTATTATTTGTCAAAATGAAACTCTCTGTGACATGTCACAAAATTGCACTTCGATAAAGATTTAAAAAAATAAACTTTTTTTCTTTCATTAAGCACTTCAGAAGATAAAGAAAAAGAGTTTCAGCTTGATAACGACAATGAATGATGCAATGTGTAAGTGTTATCACCTACATTTTGGCAAATGCATTATGACGAAAAGAATTCTTAAAAATGTCAAAATTCAGAATTTGAAAAAAGAAAGAAAAAAAATAAAAAACATATGAGAAAAATTTATTGTACTTATGTTTTAAATATTTATGTTTCTTTCCGTAATTATTTATTGATTGATTCTTAAAGCATTAAAAAAATTCCAATTCATTGTTCATAATTATTCCCTAATAATTTCATCATCAATGATACTTACTTGTCTGTAACGTATATTCAATATGACTTCAGTAATTTTATGATTTCGAAAAAAGAGAAAAAGACGCTAATAATTTAAAATATTTCAAAAGCTTTTAGAAATGAAAAAAGTTATTTTTAATCTAAAAAAATATTGTGTTCTATTTTTTACAATAAATTCCTATAATATCATTATTTGAATCATTTTGTTTAACTCTGCTTTCAATTGATAATATCAGCAATGGAAGCTTTTCGGTTAACTTTTCAATCATTGGATGATATCAAAAATGAAAATGAAATAATTCAAAAGATAATAATGTAAGGTAGAAAAAGGATAAAATTAGAATATGTAGCGACTTTGTGAGCTTTGTACAAACTGATCGCCATCGATTTCGAAATTTAATTTGTAATCGTCCCTGTCGTACGGATGGTCCATCAATAAGGCGAAATTGTGGCATTTCGGAATTATAACTGGTAATTTTTTGATATGGCAACATTTGAATATGGGCAAATTCATTTCCCTGCAAATATTTTATCGAAATTTCATTGTTCTATAAAGGATTGCTTTAATATCAGTATAATAAAATGCATTTCATGTTTAATATATATTTCTAAAAGAAATTATATAAAAGCAAAACAAAATATTAATTACTCTTTCAATTACTTAATTTATACTTGATTCTTGTTCACTTACTTTACGATAATTTAAATGTAAAGTTTTGCAAGTCTTGAAATCTTTTCTTGAATTTTCCCATGCAATTAATTGATTGATAATGATTTACGACATTACACCATAGAAAATGATAATTTAATTTTCTTCGGTGATTTTATTTCCTACACAATATAAATAATATGAATTTGTATCAGTTTCATACATAATATTCATAAAGAATTAAAATGCATTTAAAATTCAGAGCATTTTCGACATCTAATAATACGAAACTTATTTCATTTTTTGAAATATTTTATTTTTTTGCATTAAAATAGAATTTAATTATTTTGAATACACTTTTAAATATCATTCCTAAGATTAATGATTTATGAGACATCGATTGTTTGAATCTAACACTCTTGAAAATTTATCATCTCTATATAATTAATAAGTCAATTATTTTGTTTAATTACAGCTTTAAATAATTGAAAATATTGTTGGATTTCACATTGAGGATTATGGAGATAGTGCGATCAGAAGTGTTTGGGAGATTGACAATAATAACAATAATAATTGTAAAAACAACAATAACAATTGCTGCGACAATAACAGTAACATTAACAATAATAGCGACAACAATAACACTAATAACAGAAAAGTGCTTTATGAATGGATGAAGACCTTTTGGTTAACATACGATTGTAAAAGACATTACAGCCAATTACTTTACAAGTGAAATTTTGAATTTAGGCTAACTGAATTCGTTCAATAATTTACTGGCGCGATTTATAGCCAAATTTTGCTTTTTTTAAAAATCAAAAACAGCAAAAAAATTGACAACCAATGAAATATCATTTTAATTTAGTGCAATATTATTGATATTCTAATGATATAAATATTTCCGTTTCAAAATTTTATTTTTTCCTAAAATAAAAAGGCTACATGCATGCTTAGAGCATTTTATTTACTAACAAATATTTTTTTTATTATATTTATTTTACTATCCGATCCTCGAAAAATGTCTCAAAAATTTGGCAAAATGTGAATAAATTTAGTTTATATTTACTCTCTTATTCAAAGCTCATCAAAAATATAATTTCGTCTATTTCTATGACATTTTATTGATAATTCCAATGTAACTTTATTAATTTTTCTTTCTTTTATGGAAAATAATTGGAAACTTTTCAGGCAAAGAATAAAAATGAAAAGAGGAAGAGAGAGAGAGGAAGAAAGAGGAATTTAAATTACTTTCTACGATTTATACTTTATGATATGTAAAGAAATGTAAAAAGTTGCAAATAGAAAACAGTCTTTCCATACTTATCGTTTCAGGCCTTTCCCACTTTTTTTGCAACGATCAATTTTTTGGTTTTATTTCATTTGTTTTTTATCTTTGCCTATTTTTGATTCCTTTCATTCCCTTACAAACAAACGCATTTCATGATGAAAATGAAAAAAATAAAATAGAAGGAGGAAAAAAAGGAAATGAAATAAACAATGAAAGGCTAAAAAGGCTTTTTTTACTTTGAAGAAAAAATGAAATGCCTATCAAGGTAGCATAATTAATCAGTAATTGTATGGGATACATCTTGCATCTAATCAATTTTACTGCTTTTTTTCAAAGCTTATTTCATTTTCTGTTGAAAAGCAAATTTCTTCTTCCATCTGTCTTTTTCATTTTCCGCCATTCACTATACTTTTGCAATGCCTTCCAATATTTGCATTTTTTTTTTTGTCCCGAAATTCACTTCAAAATGACATACCAATTTTAAATACTTTCCTTTTCTTTCAAGGCATTTCTTTATTTATCTCAAACATTATTATTTCTTTCCCTTCCTTTAAATAAATAAAAACTGACATTATCAAATTGCAATTATTTTTTTTACTTTCTCACGCAGCGATATTTAAAATTAAAATTTCAAATTTGAATAAAATTTGAATGAACAAAAGAAAATTGAATGAAAAATTTTCAAGTAGCCATTTGCAAACATTCTATCATTTCCTGTTTTATCGAAGAAGGACAATGACTTTTCCAAATGTCTGTCACATATCTTCCCGATGAATCATTTCAATCATCAATAAGAGAGGAGAAAAAAAGTTTCAGCACACCGTTTTTATCGACTTTCCCTATATGATATTTGAGTTTCTAAAGGCGAAGAAAAAACATGGGAATTTGAAAAAAACGTTATAAATAACTAATTTTTAATTTACTCAATTATTTTTTTTTTTTTTTGCAAATCCATTCTTTCCTTCACTTATACAACGTGCAACAATTAAACATGCGTAATATTTTCACGTATAATATTCTATTATTTATTGTTTACTATTTGTCTGATTGCTAAAATTTCACTTAGACATTGCCTAAATACAATAATAATCACGTTGGAGTAAAAAATAAAAAAATAAAAAAAACTGTCATTTTATAATAATTATTATTTATTATTGCAATTTCATTATTGCATCATTTAATTTCGACATACGCTTTTTGTATTTAAATTTAGTATTTAAATGATAGAGTATAAATTGAGCAATGTGCTAGTAGGATAAGAGACAAAAAGAACTATAACGAATAGAAAATACATTAAATCAAGAATTAAATAATATAAGAATTTAAAGAACTGTACCAAATTGAAAATATTAAATGCATCAATAATGATAATAACACTAACCACAGCCCAAATAGCTCCTTTGATTTTAATACCAACACCAGCATCGAAATAAATTTTTACTCCAGTTTCAATTGTTAACACGGCTTTTGTTTCGATGGTCAAATCAGTTTGAATATGATACGGTGAATTACGATAGTATAAAGTTATATTACTTGAATATACACCTGAAAATAATTATAAATACATATATATATAGGAGATATTTAAAGTAGAAAAAAATTATTAAAAAGTTCTTTGAGAAAAAAAATAAAACTTGCAAAATAGATTGAAATATATTAGAGCAAAAGCAATTATTTAAACTTAGATTACGAATTTATTGTGTGAATGATTATAAATGTTTCTACAATTTTAACTTTTTGATTTTGTTCTATCTTGAATCTTATCATTTTATCAAATGTTATTTTATCCAAATTTCATAAAGCTTAATGAGATGCTAAGCAAGCTTTGCTTATAAAATTTCCAACTTCTTTTTCTAATATTACCCATTTTAAAATAACACTCTCAGAATAATTCTTCGTGGTTTAAAAATCTAGAATTTTACAAATCTATTTGCTGGGATTCTTTAGGATTTCTGAAAAATTTAATGAAATGATGAAAAAAACAAACTGTTTTTGAAAGATTAATTTAATAGAAATGTTTTTCTAACACTGACTTTAAGTATCAATTTCAGAACAATTCCGTCGAAACATTTGTTTTGTTATCATTTTCACGGTAATTTAATCCAAGTACTTCTTCGATATCAATTTTGGGATAATTTAATTCAAATACTTTTCTAGTACTAATTTGTAGTTCAACAAAAGTATTAATTACTGGTGAATGAATATTTTAATAGAAATATTTGTTTAGTATAAAGTTACGAATAATTCTACATGAATACTTTCTCAGTATTAATTTAATCAAAAATAGAAATTTTTGGAATCAAGAAATCAGTGAACGAATTCTTTTTTTTTTCACTTTTCGATTGCATTCATTCTTTTGTGCATACTAAAAAGCTTTCACATTCTATGTCTTACCTTACTTTTTGATTATAATTGTGGCTATGAGAAAAACGAAAAAGAAATTTCAATCAAATACTTTTTTAAAGGAGAATTTTAGAGTGAGCAAGAAGGAAAAAAAGAAAATTTGATGCAAAATTCAAAAAAAAAAAAATGAAAATGGCAATTATTACCTCCGATGATATTTTTGATTGGTTCATCATATATGTTTAAAATATCATCCGGTAAGGATGATAACAATGGATCCGTATCAGAAATGGCATTATCGGAATTATTAACAGCATTAATAGCAGGGATATCTGTTTCACCATTAGCATAAAGTGATAAAAGCATTTGTAATAATAAATTAAAAAGTGATAATTGTATTATGGATGATGAAAAGTGATAATATATTCCAGATGGAGATGGTAATGTTTCAGTGACCATATCATTGACACTGATAAATGATAATAAATGATCGTTGATCATTGATAGCACAGCCATATACCAATACGAAAAGTGATGATAGTATTGTTGCCTTTTCAATTTTATCCATTTTAAACCATATTCTATCATCACTATAACATATCATTTAGCCATTATTGTTAATCAATGGCTAGATGAAACTAAAACTAATACTAATTAACAGTAATTAATTAGAAAATAATAACACATTATATAATACCGGCACAAAATTACTTCGCTGCTATGCTGTGTATTAAAATAATTAACTAAATTTCAATCAGAAATTAATAACACCATTACTATCCTGTAATAGTGGTATTATTTATCTGGTACATAATATCTAATACAAAA